AGAATAGAAGCATCAGGGAAGAGAGAGGTGAAGGTTTATAAACTAAAAGAGGAGGCAGTTAGGGTAAGATATAAACAGCTATTGGAGGATAGATGGGCTAATGAGAGCATAGGCAATGGGGTCGAAGAGGTATGGGGTAGGTTTAAAAATGTAGTGTTAGAGTGTTCAGCAGAAGTTTGTGGTTACAGGAAAGTGGGTGCGGGAGGGAAGAGGAGCGATTGGTGGAATGATGATGTAAAGAGAGTAGTAAGGGAGAAAAAGTTAGCATATGAGAAGTTTTTACAAAGTAGAAGTGATGCAAGGAGGGAAGAGTATATGGAGAAAAAGATAGAGGTTAAGAGAGTGGTGAAGCAATGTAAAAAGAGAGCAAATGAGAGAGTGGGTGAGATGTTATCAACAAATTTTGTTGAAAATAAGAAAAAGTTTTGGAGTGAGATTAACAAGTTAAGAAAGCCTAGAGAACAAATGGATTTGTCAGTTAAAAATAGGAGAGGAGAGTTATTAAATGGAGAGTTAGAGGTATTGGGAAGATGGAGGGAATATTTTGAGGAATTGTTAAATGTTGATGAAGATAGGGAAGCTGTGATTTCGTGTATAGGGCAAGGAGGAATAACATCTTGTAGGAGTGAGGAAGAGCCAGTTGTGAGTGTGGGGGAAGTTCGTGAGGCAGTAGGTAAAATGAAAGGGGGTAAGGCAGCCGGGATTGATGGGATAAAGATAGAAATGTTAAAAGCAGGTGGGGATCTAGTTTTGGAGTGGTTGGTGCAATTATTTAATAAATGTATGGAAGAGGGTAAGGTACCTAGGGATTGGCAGAGAGCATGCATAGTTCCTTTGTATAAAGGCAAAGGGGATAAAAGTGAGTGCAAAAATTATAGGGGTATAAGTCTGCTGAGTATACCTGGTAAAGTGTATGGTAGAGTTATTATTGAAAGAATTAAGAGTAAGACGGAGAATAGGATAGCAGATGAACAAGGAGGCTTTAGGAAAGGTAGGGGGTGTGTGGACCAGGTGTTTACAGTGAAACATATAAGTGAACAGTATTTAGATAAGGCTAAAGAGGTCTTTGTGGATTTATGGTTTTGGGAAAAAGGCGTATGACAGGGTGGATAGGGGGCCAATGTGGCAGATGTTGCAAGTGTATGGTGTAGGAGGGAGGTTACTGAAAGCAGTGAAGAGTTTTTACGAGGATAGTGAGGCTCAAGTTAGAGTATGTAGGAAAGAGGGAAATTATTTCCCAGTAAAGTAGGCCTTAGACAAGGATGTGTGATGTCACCGTGGTTGTTTAATATATTTATAGATGGGGTTGTAAGAGAAGTAAATGCGAGGGTCTTGACAAGAGGCGTGGAGTTAAAAGTAAAGAATCACACACAAAGTGGGAGTTGTCACAGCTGCTCTTTGCTGATGACACTGTGCTCTTGGGAGATTCTGAAGAGAAGTTGCAGAGATGGTGGATGAATTTGGTAGGGTGTGCAAAAGAAGAAAATTAAAGGTGAATACAGGAAAGAGTAAGGTTATGAGGATAACAAAAAGATTAGGTGATGAAGATTGAATATCAGATTGGGGGGAGAGAGTATGGAGGAGGTGAATGTATTCAGATATTTGGGAGTGGACGTGTCAGCGGATGGGTCTATGAAAGATGAGGTGAATCATAGAATTGATGAGGGAAAAAGAGTGAGTGGTGCACTTAGGAGTCTGTGGAGACAAAGAACTTTGTCCTTGGAGGCAAAGAGGGGAATGTATGAGAGTATAGTTTTACCAACGCTCTTATAGGGGTGTGAAGCATGGTGATGAATGTTGCAGCGAGGAGAAGGCTGGAGGCAGTGGAGATGTCATGTCTGAGGGCAATGTGTGGTGTGAATATAATGCAGAGAATTCGTAGTTTGGAAGTTAGGAGGAGGTGCGGGATTACCAAAACTGTTGTCCAGAGGGCTGAGGAAGGGTTGTTGAGGTGGTTCGGACATGTAGAGAGAATGGAGCGAAAACAGAATGACTTCAAAAGTGTATCAGTCTGTAGTGGAAGGAAGGCGGGTAGGGGTCGGCCTAGGAAAGGTTGGAGAGAGGGGGTAAAGGAGGTTTTGTGTGCGAGGGGCTTGGACTTCCAGCAGGTATGCATGAGCGTGTTTGATAGGAGTGAATGGAGACAAATGGTTTTTAATACTTGACGTGCTGTTGGAGTGTGAGCAAAGTAACATTTATGAAGGGGTTCAGGGAAACCGGCAGGCCGGACTTGAGTCCTGGAGATGGGAAGTACAGTGCCTGCACTCTGAAGGAGGGGTGTTAATGTTGCAGTTTAAAAACTGTAGTGTAAAGCACCCTTCTGGCAAGACAGTGATGGAGTGAATGATGGTGAAAGTTTTTCTTTTTCGGGCCACCCTGCCTTGGTGGGAATCGGCCAGTGTGATAATAAAATAAAATAAAAATACATACATGCTCCTCCCACCAATATATTTGTCCAATCTCTTTTTAAAGCTATCCAAGGTCCAATCTAATCTAAAATCTTGGGTAATTTCAAATTTCAAATTTAGTGGTGACGTGTACTTAGTCAGTGGTGACGTGTACTTAGTCAGTGGTGACGTGTACTTAGTCAGTGGTGACGTGTACTTAGTCAGTGGTGACGTGTACTTAGTCAGTGGTGACGTGTACTTAGTTCAGTGGTGACATGCACTTAGCTCAGTGAGGACGTTATTGTACTCTCCTTGGACTGAACCAAGATGCCCTCCATCGAGCAACTTTACTAGCAGTTTAAGGAAGAATTGAGGATAGTGAAGATGGAGACACGGCGATTGACTGAGGAAAACGAGGATTCGTAGTAGTCCCTCCTGTTTTGAGTCCTCAGGTCAAGAAGGGGACATGGACAGTGGCTGGACAGCATGGAACGAAGTTGACGATGAAGAAGACGAATGGAAAGGCAGAAACGATGAAGAAGAAAGAGACTGCTGTGGAAACTGTTGTGGAAACCTCTAATGCATTCTCCGTGCTACCCAACGAATGTGAGTCAACTACTGGGAACGTCACGACGAACGACACCAAGGAAAGTAAGAATATTGTTGTTGTTGGTGATAGCCAGGTTAGGTACATGGATAGGGCATTCTGCTTGAAGGACAGGAGTAGGAGACAAAGGGTTTGCTTTCCTGGGGCTGGGATGGAGGATATTGTTAGCCGTCTGGATGACATCATGAGAGGTAATGGGAGCAATCCTATTATCTGTCTCAGTGCTGGAGGCAATGATGTTGGCAGACATAGGAGTGAGGACCTGATTAGCAGGTATAGGTCAGCAATAGAGATAATTAGGAGGAAGGGTGGGAACCCTGTCATATGTAGTATTTTGCCAAGGAGAGGAGTTGGAAACAAATGGTTGTCCAGGGCAATTGGTGTCAATTGCTGGCTGGACAAATACTGTAAGGAAAATGCAGTAACATTCATTGACAACTGGGACCTCTTCTATGGCAGAAATGACATGTATGCCAGGGATGGGGTTCACTTATCTAGGTCTGGGGTGGGGGCACTGGCAACTGCAGTGGAGGGAGCTGTTAGGACTTTAAACTAGGAATAGTTAGTGGTATGGGTTTTGGTGGGAAAACAGTGAAGTCCCAGTGTAGTAATATGAGTACTAGGAGAGCTAGTAATAGGCAAAAGAGGTGGATATTGGAAAGCCAGTGGCACTAGGTGACAAGGACAGTAATAGGTTTAGTGGAAAAACAGAAATGAGCAGGAAGGGTAAAGAAAAAGGAGGGTCTTTAAATATACATTATGTTAATTCCCGTAGTGCTAAGAATAAGATGGACAAGTTGAGATTAGTTGCTAGTGCAGGTAACATTGATGTATTTTTCCATAACTGAGACGTGGTTTAATTCAAAAAGTCAAGACATGCCTGCAGAATGTCACATTCCGGGTTTTAAATTGTTCCAAGTAGATAGAAGTATCGGGAAGGGGGGTGGGGTGGCACTGTATGTCCGAGATCGCTTGAACTGTCGCACAAAAATGGGTATTGAGTCTCAAGTAACACATACAGAGTCTGTTTGGATAGAATTTTCAGAGGAGCATGAAAAACTGATTTTAGGTGTGATATACCATCCCCCAAACTTAGATAGGGACCAAGGGAGACTACTATGGATGTAAATAAACAAGCGAGTCAGTTGGGGGGGGGGGAGCCATATAACGAGTTTTGGTCATAATTTGAAATGTCAGTATTAGTGAAACACCCTTAAGCAAAACACTGTAAAGCTTGGTCATAATCTGAAATGTCAGTATTAGTGAAACACCCTTAAGCAAAACACTGTAAAGCAAGTCCCTACTGTATATAAAATATGCAATAACTTTAAAACACTTAAAACTTTGGAAAGTTTTCAGACATAATCAGCTCACAGAGGATGTAAGCAAACTGAAGGGGACAGGTGGTGTGCAGATGCCGTAATAGCAAATCAGGAGCCATATAAACAAATTTTTAGATTGGAGGGAGGGGGATAAGGAGGTTTTGTGTGCGAGGGGCTTGGACTTCCAGCAAGTAAGCATGAGTGTGTTAATAGGAGCAAATGGAGACAAATGGTTTTTAGGACTTGACGTGCTGTTGGAGTGTGAGCAAGCTAACATTTATGAAGGGATTCAGGGAAACCAGCAGCCTGGACTGGAGTCCTGGAGGTGGGAAGTACTGTGCCTGTACTCTGAAGAAAGGGTGTTAATGTTGCAGTTTTATAACTGCAGTGTGAGCGTGCCTCTGGCAAAACAGTGATGGAGTAAATGATGAAAGATTTTCTTTTTTGGGGCCACCCTACCTTGGTGGGAAACGGCCAATGTGTTAATAAAAAAAAAACTGAAATGTCCATATTAGTAAATCCCCGTAAAGCGGGGCCTTCCTGTATATTTAAGAAAATAGAAATAATTTAAATTTTTACTTTTTAATTTTATTTTATTTTTAAAATTGCAATTTTTACTGTGATTCATCAAAACTTTTTTATTTAAATTAATTAAACTAATAAAGAAATGGCATCACAACAAACCTGGTGAAATATTTGCGAGAAGTGTGAAGATTGTGCCTGACTAGAGGTACAGAGGCAGCAATATGTTGAGATATAGCTGTCACATATGGGCTTTGGTCACCAGTCTGTTCTACCATCCAGTTCACTTTGGTCATGGAGGCAAGTGCTGGGTCACACAGGCTCTCCACATGAGTCACAAGAAGAGCAATGCACTGAAAAATTTACATAACCAATATATTATATATACTACAACTTATTATTAACACTTATATGCATTTCCATAGTGTTTTTATTAGTATTTATATTTACATTTATACAGCTCTGTGGTGCAGCAGTCAACAGTGATGCCTCATGCCCCAGACTTTGGTTCAACTCCAGCTGTTGGCTTACTTTGGTTTCTTTTATTTAAAAGGAAAATACCAACAGCCATTGCCCAATGGAAAGGAACACCTCTCATTACTACAGTCCAGGGATCAAATCTCCGGAGCAAAAAAAAAAAAAAAAAAAAAAATTGCCATAGTTAAGTGGTGAGAGGTGTAACTCTCATCACTGAGGTCCAGGGAATCCCCTTACTAAAAAGAAAAAAAAATTGTGAAGAACACAGTAATAGCTAGACTGTGGTATTGCTCACTGATATTCACTACATCTTCAGTTCAAACCCTTTACTTAATTTACTGGTTAGCCAGACTTGAGTCCTGGAGGTGAGTAGTAGTAGTTTGGGATATTTCCTGTTTAGAGCAACATCTAAACAGTCATATCTGTGCACCTCTGGTAAGATAGTGATAGTGTGAATGATGGTGAAAATTTTTTTGTTTCTTTTTTGGGTCACCCTGCCTCGGTGGGAGACGGCCGGCATGCTAAAAAAATTAAATTACATTTCCATGGCAGTTCTTTTTATTAGCACTTACATTTACTTCCCCATGGTAGTGCTTTATTAGCACTTACATTTCTAAAATCATCACTTGCAAGTCTGACTTATTAAATTATTTAGTTTTTCCTTTTATCCAATATTGTATATCCCACATCAATACAATAAATCAAATTTAATATGCCTACAACACACAAAGGAATGATAATAAAACTGCAATACAGTGGAATCTCGGCTTACGAATGCCCCACCATGCGAATTTTTCAGGATACAAACAGTCACTCGATCGATTTTTTGCTTCTGGATACGAATGAAATTTCAGGATGTGAACTTCCCCATCAAGGAAGATTCCTTGGTGAGAGGCTTTTGATCAAGGTAACTGGATCTGTCCTCCACTTTCCTAAATTAAAAATAATAATAATAATAATAATAATAATAATTATTATGTGTAAATTCAAGAATTATGTGGATTAAAGTAAAGGTTGGATGCGAGAAGTGGGTCATAATAAGCGTGTATGCACCTGGAGAAGAGAGGAATGCAGAGGAGAGAGAGAGATTTTGGGAGATGTTAAGTGAATGTATAGGAGCCTTTGAACCAAGTGAGAGAGTAATTGTGGTAGGGAACCTGAATGCTAAAGTAGGAAAAACTTTTAGAGAGGGTGTGGTAGGTAAGTTTGGGGTGCCAGGTGTAAATGATAATGGGAGCCCTTTGATTGAACTTTGTATAGAAAGGGGTTTAGTTATAGGTAATACATATTTTAAGAAAAAGAGGATAAATAAGTATACAAGATATGATGTAGGGTGAAATGACAGTAGTTTGTTGGATTATGTATTGGTAGATAAAAGACTGTTGAGTAGACTTCAGGATATACATGTTTATAGAGGGGCCACAGATATATCAGATCACTTTCTAGTAGTAGCTACACTGAGAGTAAAAGGTAGATGGGATACAAGGAGAATAGAAGCATCAGGGAAGAGAGAGGTGAAGGTTTATAAACTAAAAGAGGAGGCAGTTAGGGTAAGATATAAACAGCTATTGGAGGATAGATGGGCTAATGAGAGCATAGGCAATGGGGTCGAAGAGGTATGGGGTAGGTTTAAAAATGTAATGTTAGAGTGTTCAGCAGAAGTTTATGGTTACAGGAAAGTGGGTATGGGAGGGAAGAGGAGCGATTGGTGGAATGATGATGTAAAGAGAGTAGTAAGGAAGAAAAAGTCAGCATATGAGAAGTTTTTACAAAGAAGAATTGATGCAAGGAGGGAAGAGTATATGGAGAAAAAGAGAGAGGCTAAGAGAGTGGTGAAGCAATGTAAAAAGAGAGCAAATGAGAGAGTGGGTGAGATGTTATCAACAAATTTTGTTGAAAATAAGAAAAAGTTTTGGAGTGAGATTAACAAGTTAAGGAAGCCTAGAGAACAAATGGATTTGTCAGTTAAAAATAGGAGAGGAGAGTTATTAAATGGAGAGTTAGAGGTATTGGGAAGATGGAGGGAATATTTTGAGGAATTGTTAAATGTTGATGAAGATAGGGAAGCTGTGATTTCGTGTATAGGGCAAGGAGGAATAACATCTTGTAGGAGTGAGGAAGAGCCAGTTGTGAGTGTGGGGGAAGTTCGTGAGGCAGTAGGTAAAATGAAAGGGGGTAAGGCAGCTGGGATTGATGGGATAAAGATAGAAATGTTAAAAGCAGGTAGGGATATAGTTTTGGAGTGGTTGGTGCAATTATTTAATAAATGTATGGAAGAGGGTAAGGTACCTAGGGATTGGCAGAAAGCATGCATAGTTCCTTTGTATAAAGGCAAAGGGGACAAAAGAGAGTGCAAAAATTATAGCGGGATAAGTCTGTTGAGTATACCTGGTAAAGTGTATGGTAGAGTTATTATTGAAAGAATTAAGAGTAAGACGGAGAATAGGATAGCAGATGAACAAGGAGGCTTTAGGAAAGGTAGGGGGTGTGTGGACCAGGTGTTTACAGTGAAACATATAAGTGAACAGTATTTAGATAAGGCTAAAGAGGTCTTTGTGGCATTTATGGATTTGGAAAAGGCGTATGACAGGGTGGATAGGGGGGCAATGTGGCAGATGTTGCAGGTGTATGGTGTAGGAGGTAGGTTACTGAAAGCAGTGAAGAGTTTTTACGAGGATAGTGAGGCTCAAGTTAGAGTATGTAGGAAAGAGGGAGATTATTTCCCAGTAAAAGTAGGCCTTAGACAAGGATGTGTGATGTCACCGTGGTTGTTTAATAAATTTATAGATGGGGTTGTAAGAGAAGTAAATGCGAGGGTCTTGGTAAGAGGCGTGGAGTTAAAAGATAAAGAATCACACATAAAGTGGGAGTTGTCACAGTTGCTCTTTGCTGATGACACTGTGCTCTTGGGAGATTCTGAAGAGAAGATGCAGAGATTGGTGGATGAATTTGGTAGGGTGTGCAAAAGAAAATTAAAAGTGAATAAAGGAAAGAGTAAGGTTATGAGGATAACAAAAAGATTAGGTGATGAAAGATTGGATATCAGATTGGAGGAGGTGAATGTATTCAGATATTTGGGAGTGGACGTGTCAGCGGATGGGTCTATGAAAGATGAGGTGAATCATAGAATTGATGAGGGGAAAAGGGTCAGTGGTGCACTTAGGAGTCTGTGGAGACAAAGAACTTTGTCCTTGGAGGCAAAGAGTGGAATGTATGAGAGTATAGTTTTACCAACGCTCTTATATGGGTGTGAAGCATGGGTGATGAATGTTGCAGCGAGGAGAAGGCTGGAGGCAGTGGAGATGTCATGTCTGAGGGCAATGTGTGGTGTGAATATAATGCAGAGAATTCGTAGTTTGGAAGTTAGGAGGAGGTGCGGGATTACCAAAACTGTTGTCCAGAGGGCTGAGGAAGGGTTGTTGAGGTGGTTCGGACATGTAGAGAGAATGAAGCGAAACAATGACTTCAAGAGTGTATCAGTCTGTAGTGGAAGGAAGGCAGGGTAGGGGTCGGCCTAGGAAAGGTTGGAGGGAGGGGGTAAAGGAGGTTTTGTGTGCGAGGGGCTTGGACTTCCAGCAGGCATGCGTGAGCGTGTTTGATAGGAGTGAATGGAAACAAATGTTTTTTTTTAATACTTGACGTGCTGTTGGAGTGTGAGCAAAGTAACATTTATGAAGGGGTTCAGGGAAACCGGCAGGCCGGACTTGAGTCCTGGAGATGGGAAGTACAGTGCCTGCGATCTGAAGGAGGGGTGTTAATGTTGCAGTTTAAAAACTGTAGTGTAAAGCACCCTTCTGGCAAGACAGTGATGGAGTGAATGATGGTGAAAGTTTTTCTTTTTCGGGCCACCCTGCCTTGGTGGGAATCGGCCAGTGTGATAATAAAAATAAATAAATAAAAATAATTATTATTATAATAATTATTATTATTGATCAAGGTAACTGGATCTGTGCTCCACTTCCCTAGATTAAAAATAATAATAATAATAATAATAATAATTATTATTATTATTATTTTTTTTTGAACAAGTTGATCGTCTCCCACTGAGGCAGGGTGACCCAAAAAGAAAGAAAATCCCCAAAAAGAAAATACTTTCATTATCATTCAACACTTTCACCTCACTCATACATAATAACTGTTTTTGCAGAGGTGCCCGGAACACAACAGTTTAGAAGCATATATGTATAAAGATACACAACATATCCCTCCAAACTGCCAATATCCCCCCTCCTTTAAAGTGTAGGCATTGTACTTCCCATTTCCAGTATGCAAGTCCAGCTATACAAAAATAACTGATTTCCCTGAATCCCTTCACTAAATATTACCCTGCTCACACTCCAACAGCTCATAAGGTCCCAAATACCATTCGTCTCAATTCACTCCCATCTAACATGCTCACGCATGCTTTCTGGAAGTCCAAGCCCCTCGCCCACAAAACCTCCTTTACCCCCTCCCTCCAACCTTTTCGAGGATGAGCCCTACCCCGCCTTCCTTCTACAGATTTATACGCCCTCCATGTCATTCTACTTTGATCCATTCTCTCTAAATGACCAAACCACCTCAACAACCCCTCTTCAGCCCTCTGACTAATACTTTTATTAACTCCACACCTTTTCCTAATTTCCACACTCCGAATTCTCTGCATAATATTTACACCACACATTGCCCTTAGACAGGACCGCCTCCAACTGCCTCCTCACTGCAGTATTTACAACTCAAACTTCACACCCATATAAGAGTGTTGGTATCACTATACAGTGGTCCCTCGTTTTTCGTAATTAATCCGTTCCTGGAGGAGCTACTATAAACGAAATTTACAATTTGCGAATCAATTTTCCCCATAAGAAATAATGTAAATACAATTAATCCATTCCTGACACCCAGAAGTATTAAAACAAAAATTTTTTTACATGAAATATACATGTAGTACATAAACAATACAATGGGAAATGATGAATGAAACATTAACAGCATAGCGCTTACCTTTATTGGAGATTCTTCTTAGTGTTTGGGAGACTGGAGGAGGAGAGAGATTGGATTGTTTACAGTTTGGAAGGGGAATCCCCTTCCAGCAACACCTCAGGTACCAATTGCTTTTCTGGGGTTACTTCTCTTCTCTGTTTCTTAATGCCACTAGGACCACCATGAGAGTCACTGGATTCCTGTCTTGCAAAATAACTGTGGAGAGAGCTCTGTTTCTGGCAGTCTCTTGAACACTTCCCTAAAATGGCCCAAGACTTTGTCACTGTACATATTTCTCACCTTCTTTACCACAGGCTTGGCACTAGGAGCTTTCTTTCGAGCCATGGTAGCTTATTTAGTACTTGCAAGCACTAAAATGAGTGGAATATTACGAAATATTTCGTAGGAGCACTTGAGGGGTCCTTCACTCACTGGTAAACAATGCCAGACTGGCTGGGTAGGGAAGCCTCCCCGGCTCACACTGTGCTTATGCGTCCCGGACAAACTACTATTCGCGAGTCAACCTATGAAAAGCGAGTCCATGTTTATACGAAAATACCCCTATGATTGGCAAAATTTACGATTGCCGAGAACTACGAAAAGCAAGGGACCACTGTACTTTCATACATTTCCTTCTTTGCCTCCTTAGATAATGTTTTTGTCTCCACATTTACCTCAATGCACCACTCACCTTTTTTCCTTCATCAATTCTATGGTTAAACTCATCCTTCATACATCCATCTGCTGACATGTCAACTCCCAAATATCTGAAAATATTCACTTCTTCCATACTCCTCCTCTCCAATTTGATATCCATTTTTTTTTATCTAAATCATTTGATACCCTCATCACCTTACTCTTTTCTATGTTCACTTTCAACGTTCTACCTTTACACACACTCTTTACACATACGTACTAATAATATTAATAATACACTGCAGAAGGCCTGCTGGCCCATACTATGAAGGTCCTTCACAATCCATCCCACTAACAGAATATTTGCCCAACTCACTTTTCAATGCTACCCAAGAAATAAGCTTTGATAATTCTATTTACTCATGTGCGAGTCCCACTCACATCCAACCCCTCTCACTCATGTATTTATCCTACACAAATCTGAAACTACCCAAGGTTTTAGCCTCAATAACCATACTAGGCATATTGTTCCACTCATCAACATAAGAACATAAGAAAGGAGGAACACTGCAGCAGGTCTGTTGGCCTATACTAGGCAGGTCCTTCATATATCCAACCCACTAACAGAATGAACGTACCCAAGCAATGAGTGTTGACAATTCTATTTACTTGACTGTGTGGTAATGGAGTTACAGGAAGCTGACATCGAAGAAATGCTGAGCACTGACAATGATGCACCTGTTGTGCATTCCTTGAGTGATGGTGAAATCAGATGAATTGTGATATATAAATAAGCCAGAGTTGATATTAGTATCATATTGAAGTATTTTGTCATGCCTCCCGAGAGTAGGAATTCCGCTGGAACGGATTAATACTATTTCAATTAATTTAAATGAGGAAAATTGACTCAGCATACGAACAAATCGGAATACGAACAACGCCACAGAACCGATTAAATTCGTAAGCCGAGGTTCCACTGTATTTGAAACAATTTTATTTTAACAACATCTGCCGTCTCCCACTAAGGTTGGATAACTGAAAAAAATAAAATATTCACCATCACTCATTCACTAGCTGTCTTGCAAGAAATGCAGAAACATTACAAATTAAATTACCCATTGAAATACAGTGGACCCCCGCATAACGATCACCTCCGAATGCGACCAATTATGTAAGTGTATTTATGTAAGTGCGTTTGTACGTGTATGTTTGGGGGTCTGAAATGGACTAATCTACTTCACAATATTCCTTATGGGAACAAATTCGGTCAGTACTGGCACCTGAACATACTTCTGGAGTGAAAAAATATCGTTAACCGGGGGTCCACTGTATAATATCCCCACTCCACCTTTAGAGTTCAGGCACTGTACTTCCCACCTCCAGGACTCAAGTCCAGCTAACCAGCTTCCCTGAATCCCTTCATATAAGTTACCATGCTAATACTTCAGCAGAATGTCAAATTTTTAAAACTGCCCCTATCACTTAAAACCTCCTTCACACCCTTCCTCTAACCTTTCCTGTGATGACTCTTATCCATCCTTTCTTCCATCTAAGACTGATACACACTCTAGTTAATCATATTCTTCTCTATCCTCTCTAAATACCTGAACAATTTCAGTAATCCCTCCTTTGACCCTCTAATTAACCTTTTAAATGTGGGAGACCTTAGAAAAAACTCATGTGTGGGGGAAGATTCTGAAATAAAAAAAAAAAAAATTTTCTTAGATCAACAGAGCTTGTTTTTTTGAATCAAATAAGACCAAAATTAGCAAAACCTGATTAAAAACTTACAATTTTATGGTGTGTAGAAGTTGGTGAAAAAATTATCACTAATCAGAAACAGCGACATTAAAGATCCAGCGATGTTACATTTTACAATTTATTGATGCTAAAATATGACTAAGTATTTTTGTTTTTTAACCCGTAAACGGTCCAAGCAGATCTACGTTCACATGTGTAATGCTACAAAAGTAGATCTACGTTTTTTTTTACATATTTTCAATTTTCTTTTTTTTTCAACAAGTTGGCCATCTCCCACCGAGGCAGGGTGGCCCAAAAAAGAAAGAAAATCCCCAAAAAGAAAATACTTCCATCATCATTCAACACTTTCACCATACTCACACATTATCACTGTTTTTGCAGAGGTGCTCAGAATACAACAGTTTAAAAGCATATACGTATAAAGATACACAACATATCCCTCCAAACTGCCAATATTTTCAAATATAACAAAAAAAAAAAGAAGTAGATCAAAGTTTTTTTACACATTTTCAAATGTAAAAAAACAAAAAGAAGATCTACTTTTTTTACATACTTTCAAATGTTGAAAAAACGTATATATACGTTTGGACCGTTTACGGGTTAATTGATTTTAATGTTTAATGCTATATATACGTGTACTATTTTTTTTTTTTTTTTTTTAACAAGTTGGCCATCTCCCACCAAGGTAGGGTGACCCAAAAAGAAAGAAAATCCCCAAAAAGAAAATACTTTCATCATCATTCAACACTTTCACATCACTCATATATATACTAGATATTTAAAATATTAGAGATGTTTCAAGGCATTTTAGCACTTCAAACACTACTTCACTTGAAATAATCAGCATATATACTGTACGACTGGTTTTTATTGCTCTTGTTTTTTATTATTTTGGTCTTCTAAGGCTCTGTATAAGGAATACTTATAACATTACAATTGTTTCAGGGCGTAATACTCCTGAAAACATAGAAATAAGTTATATTATTAGACTTTACTGGTTTATATATATGGTATATATACTTTATAATTGTTATTCTATAATATTTTTTCTAACATTTTGGTCTCCTAAGGTTATGCATAATAAATACTGTACTTATATTACAATTATTTTAGAGTATAATATTCATGAAAACATGAAAATTGTTCAGTTTGACTTTACTGGGTTATCCTGGATTATATACCTAGTGTGCTTTGTGGCTGAATTTCACTGTTAGTATCATGAAACTGTAACAAATATGAACTGAATAAGTCTTCTTTGAGCAACTTGCACACCCTGTCTGTTGGTGGGGAAGCTGGTGGTGGAACAACAGCTCCTGGTTCCTTTGTTTACTTTGGCCAGTGAGACATACTAGTACATCGAAAAGTCATCCCCTTCAGTAGTTTAATCGTGACACATTGTACAAACCCTGCTGGCCTTAGATTTTTTCAAATGTACGAATAGATGGAAGAAGACCCAAAGAGTTGCCCTGAGGTAAAAAATATTGGCATGTGGCAGATTTGTGGGAACAAAAAATGGTGCATACTAGTACACTGGGCACAGTGCCAGCATCTGCAGACAGTTGCTCAATGATATACTGCCTTTCTTGGGTTATCCTGGGTGGCTAACTCTCTGGGGTTAACAATCCAAACAAAATCTTATCTTATCATGGCACGTCGATCACAGTTAAAGGATTAATAGCTTTCATGAACAAACTCTGTCTTCTAATTTCTAATATTTGTACTCTATTACTAACCTGTGCTAAAACGGCATGGAAAAGATCTTGCTCCTGAGTAAGGCTGATAGTAGAAACAAGTGATGGTGAACTTTTTTCTTTTAATTTTGCTTCTAATCGACCAGTCATTTCTTCACAGTATTCGGCAGACACCAAAACCGAACATACTCGTCGAATATCATCATCACTCAATTTAGGACTGTCACCTTCCCGCCAAAGTGTCTGTACCTGAGAAACTCATAGATCAGTCAATGAAGAATATAAATCACAATGTCAAGATTTGAACCATTTGCATTTAACACAGAAAATGCAGATAATTACAGTAGGCCCTCAACCAACAGCTTTAATCCATTCCACAGAGCTAGCCTTTAGTTGAATTAGCCATTAGTCAAATTAATTTTCCCCATAAGAAATAATGGAAATCCAATTAATCCACTTCAGACAGCCAAAAGTATTAACAAAAAATATTTAATTTGAAGATTTAATATAAATATACATACAGTTGACAGCAACCACCCAGGGAGGTACTACCGTCCTGCCAAGTGAGTGTAAAACGAAAGCCTGTGATTGTTTTACATGATGGTAGGATTGCTGATGTCTTTTGTCTGTCTCATAAATATGCAAGATTACAGGCATGTCTTGCTACTTCTACTTACACTTAGGTCACACTACACATACATGTACACATTTATTTATACACACTCATCTGAGTTTTCTTTGATTTTATCTTAATAGTTCTTGGTCTTATTAATTTTCCTTTTATATCCATGGGGAAGTGGAATAAGAATCTTTCCTCCGTAAGCCATGCGTGTTGTAAAAGTCAACTAAAATGCCGGGAACAATGGGCTAGTAACCCCTTTTCCTGTAAAGATTACTAAAAAGAATAAGAAGAAGAAAATTGTCAAAGTGGGAAGTCTGAATGTGCGTGGATGTTGTGCAGATGATAAGAAAGAGATGATTGTGGATGTTATGAATGAGAAGAAGCTGGATGTCCTGGCTTTAAGTGAAACAAAGCTGAAGGGGGTGGGAGAGTTTCAGTGGAGAGGAATACAGTGGACCCCCGCATAACGATTACCTCCGAATGCGACCAATTATGTAAGTGTATTTATGTAAGTGCGTTTGTATGTGTATGTTTGGGGGTCTGAAATGGACTAATCTACTTCACAATATTCCTTATGGGAATAAATTCGGTCAGTACTGGCACCTGAACATACTTATGGAGTGAAAAAATATCGTTAACCGGGGGTCCACTGTAAATGGGATTAGGTCAGGGGTTTCAAATAGAGCTAGAGCTAAAGAAGGAGTAGCAATAATGTTGAAGGATAAGCTATGGCAGGAAAAGAGGGACTATAAATGTATTAATTCAAGGATTATGTGGAGTAAAATAAAGATTGGATGTGAAAAGTGGGTTATAATAAGCGTGTATGCATCTGGAGAAGAGAGAAGTGTAGAGGAGAGAGAGAGATTTTGGGAAATGTTGAGTGAATGCGTGGGGAGTTTTTGAATCAAGTGTGGAGAGTAATGGTGGTTGGGGATTTCAATGCTAAAGTGGGTAAAAATGTTATGGAGGGAGTAGTAGGTAAATTTGGGGTGCCAGGGGTAAATGTAAATGGGGAGCCTTTAATTGAGCTATGTGTAGAAAGAAATTTGGTAATACGTAATACATATTTTATGAAAAAGAGGAAAAATAAATATACAAGGTATGATGTAGCATGTAATGAAAGTAGTTTATTAGATTATGTATTGGTGGATAAAAGGTTGATGGGTAGGCTCCAGGATGTACATGTTTATAGAGGGGCAACTGATATATCGGATAATTATTTAGTTGTAGCTACAGTTAGAGTAAGAGGTAGATGGGAAAAGAGGAAGGTGGCAACAACAAGTAAGAGGGAGGTGAAAGTGTATAAACTAAGGGAGGAGGAAGTTCGGGTGAGATATAAGCGACTATTGGCAGAAAAGTGGGCTAGTGCAAAGATGAGTAGTGGGGGGGTTGAAGGGGGTTGGAATAGTTTTAAAAATGCAGTATTAGAATGTGGGCAGAAGTTTGTGGTTATAGGAGGGTGGGAGCAGGAGGAAAGAGGAGTGTTTGTGGTGAATGATGAAGTAAAGGGTGTGATAAAAGAGAAAAAGGTAGCTTATGAGAGGTTTTTACAAAGCAGAAGTGTTATAAGAAGAGCAGAGTATATGGAGAGAAAAAGAAAGGTAAAAGAGAGTGGTGAGAGAGTGTAAAAGGAGAGCAGATGATAGAGTGGGAGAGGCACTGTCAAGAAATTTTAATGAAAATAAGAAAAAATTTTGGAGTGAGTTAAACAAGTTAAGAAAGCCTAGGGAAAATATGGATTTGTCAGTTAAAAAACAGAGTAGGGAAATTAGTAGATGGGGAGATGGAGGTATTGGGTAGATGGCGAGAATATTTTGAGGAACTTTTAAATGTTAAGGAAGAAACAGAGGCAGTAATTTCATGCACTGGTCAGGGAGGTATACCATCTTTTAGGAGTGAAGAAGAGCAGAATGTAAGTGTGGGGGAGGTACGTGAGGCATTACGTAAAATGAAAGGGGTAAAGCAGCTGGAACTGATGGGATCATGACAGAAATGTTAAAGCAGGGGGGGATATAGTGTTGGAGTGGTTGGTACTTTTGTTTAATAAATGTATGAAAGAGGGGAAGGTACCTAGAGATTGGCGGAGAGCATGTATAGTCCCTTTATATAAAGGGAAAGGGGACAAAAGAGACTGTAAAAATTATAGAGAATAAGCTTACTGAGTATACCAGGAAAAGTGTACGGTAGGGTTATAATTGAAAGAATTAGAGGTAAGACAGAATGTAGGATTGCGGATGAGCAAGGAGGTTTCAGAGTGGGTAGGGGATGTATAGATCAAGTGTTTACATTGAAGCATATATGTGAACAGTATTTAGATAAAGGTAGGGAAGTTTTTATTGCATTTATGGATTTAGAAAAGGCATATGATAGAGTGGATAGAGGAGCAATGTGGCAGATATTGCAAGTATATGGAATAGGTGGTAAGTTATTAAATGCTGTAAAGAGTTTTTTATGAGGATAGTGAGGCTCAGGTTAGGGTGTGTAGAAGAGAGGGAGACTACTTCCCGGTAAAAGTAGGTCTTAGACAGGGATGTGTAATGTCACCATGGTTGTTTAATATATTTATAGATGGGGCTGTAAAGGAAGTAAATGCTAGGGTGTTCGGGAGAGGGGTGGGATTAAATTTTGGGGAATCAAATTCAAAATGGGAATTGACACAGTTACTTTTTTGCTGATGATACGTGCTTATGGGAGATTCTAAAGAAAAATTGCAAAGGTTAGTGGATGAGTTTGGGAATGTGTGTAAAGGTAGAAAGTTGAAAGTGAACATAGAAAAGAGTAAGGTGATGAGGGTGTCAAATGATTTAGGTAAAGAGAAATTGGATATCAAATTGGGGAGGAGGAGTATGGAAGAAGTGAATGTTTTCAGATACTTGGGAGTTGACGTGTCGGCGGATGGATTTATGAAAGATGAGGTTAATCATAGAATTGATGAGGGAAAAAAGGTGAGTGGTGCGTTGAGGTATATGTGGAGTCAAAAAACGTTATCTTTGGAGGCAAAGAAGGGAATGTATGAAAGTATAGTAGTACCAACACTCTTATATGGGTGTGAAGCTTGGGTGGTAAATGCAGCAGTGAGGAGATGGTTGGAGGCAGTGGAGATGTCCTGTTTAAGGGCAATGTGTGGTGTAAATATTATGCAGAAAATTCGGAGTGTGGAAATTAGGAGATGGTGTGGAGTTAATAAAAGTATTAGTCAGAGGGCAGAAGAGGGGTTGTTGAGGTGGTTTGGTCATTTAGAGAGAATGGATCAAAGTAGAATGACATGGAAAGCATATAAATCTATAGGGGAAGGAAGGCGGGGTAGGGGTCGTCCTCGAAAGGGTTGGAGAGAGGGGGTAAAGGAGGTTTTGTGGGCAAGGGGCTTGGACTTCCAGCAAGCGTGCGTGAGCGTGTTAGATAGGAGTGAATGGAGACGAATGGTACTTGGGACCTGACGATCTGTTGGAGTGTGAGCAGGGTAATATTTAGTGAAGGGATTCAGGGAAACCGGTTATTTTCATATAGTCGGACTTGAGTCCTGGAAATGGGAAGTACAATGCCTGCACTTTAAAGGAGGGGTTTGGGATATTGGCAGTTTGGAGGGATATGTTGTGTATCTTTATATGTGTATGCTTCTAGACTGTTGTATTCTGAGCACCTCTGCAAAAACAGTGATAATGTGCGAGTGTGGTGAAAGTGTTGAATGATGATGAAAGTATTTTCTTTTTGGGGATTTTCTTTCTTTTTTGGGTCACCCTGTCCTCGGTGGGAGACGGCCGACTTGTTGAAAAAAAAAAAAAAAAAAAAATACAGAAAACAATGACAAATAAATATAGAGCACTAATAAAATGGATAAATGAACATTTAACATCACACTTACCTTTACTGACTTATCTTTATTGACTTGGCTTGTTGGTGTATGACAGACACGTAGGAGGCAAGAGGAAGACAAGTTTATTATGCTTCAATATGACGCTAATATCATCTCTACGGCTTATTTATCTATCACAATTCATCTAATATGACATTATAAACAATGTTAATAACATAGAAACATGATATATACTCTAGAATGACTAAAATATGTCATAATGTATGGGAGGAGTAAATGGTTTAAGTGCTATTGTTAGGTTTAAGGGCCGCCACTGAGAGAAGCCATGTTGGAGGCGGTAGAGGCTTCTGCCATCACCACCATCACACTTAAACAATGTATGTAATTTATAAATAAAAAATATTTACATTTTAATTTATAAATAAGTAAGTCTATTCAGGTATGCACAAATACAGTTACGTAGATTATCATACATAGCAGCATATGTGTAAAGTACCTAGGATAACCCAAAAAAGTCAGTGACTTACGTATTTCTATTGGGGTCCCTTTTTATTTACACTTAATATATTTATTTTTCCTAGGAAGTAGGTTGGTAGATAGCAACCGCCCAGGGAGGTACTACCGTCCTGCCCAGTGAGGGTAAAACAAAAGCCTGTAATTGTTTTACATGATGGTAGGATTGCTGGTGTCCTTTTTTCTGTCTCATGAACACGCAAGATTTCAGGTACGTCTTGCTACTTCTACTTACACTTAGGTCACACTACACATACATGTACAAGCATATATATACACACCCATCTGGGTTTTCTTCTATTTTCTTTCTAGTTCTTGTTCTTGTTTATTTCCTCTTATCTCCATGGGAAAGTGGAACAGGATTCTTCCTCCGTAAGCCATGCGTGTTGTAAGAGGCGACTAAAATGCCAGGAGCAAGGGACTAGTAACCTCTTCTCCCGTATAAATTACTAAATTTAAAAAGAGAAACTTTCAGTTTTCTTTTTGGGCCACCCTGCCTTGGTGGGATATCGCCGGTTTGTTGAAAAAAAAAAAAAAATTTACTTTTCCTAGGTAGTAGGTTGGTAGACAGCAACCGCCCAGGGAGGTACTACCGTCCTGCCCAGTGAGGGTAAAATGAAAGCCTGTAATTGTTTTACATGATGGTAGGATTGTTGGTGTCCTTTTTTCTGTCTCATGAACATGCAAGATTTCAGGTACGTCTTGCTACTTCTACTTACACTTAGGTGACACTACACATACATGTACAAGCATATATATACACACCCATCTGGGTTTTCTTCTATTTTCTTTCTAGTTCTTGTTCTTGTTTATTTCCTCTTATCTCCATGGGAAAGTGGAACAGAATTCTTCCTCCATAAGCCATGCATGTTGTAAGAGGCGACTAAAATGCCAGGAGCAAGGGGCTAGTAACCCCTTCTCCTGTATAGATTACTAAATTTAAAAAGCGAAACTTTTGTTTTTTTGGGGGGCCACCCTGCCTCAGTGGGATATGGCCGGTTTGTTGAAAAAAAGTTTAACATTTACTTTTATGCTTACACTTTTATATTTACACTTACCTTGGAGAAGATGTTAGTTTAATTAGTTAGTTTGATGGAGGAGATGCTGGCAGAGGTTTCGGGTAGTGCAAGATAGCAGGCCGGCGTATGTTCAGCGGATATACATACATCCAACAACATTGGAGAGTTACTTATGTGTCTTTTTTTATCGCTTACTCACTTAACTTACTTGCTACACTGTTAATTCTACACTTTATCGCTGGCTGGCACCATAGCCTTTATTGCTACCTGATGCTTTAGTATTGTACATATCGTAGAATCACTGAATCACTGCAGAAGGCACATTCTCCCCTCTCTCTTCCTCCTCCACTTTGGTACTTTGCTATGAGTTTTTTCTTGAATTTAACTGTTTCTTTCATTCTTTATCACATGGCTGGCACTAGAAACTTTCTTTGGGCCCATGGTGGCTTATTTAGCCGTTACAAGCACTAAAAACACTGGAATAATACAAAATAAATCGCAGGTACACGTGGAATCAACCGAAACAGCTTGTAAACACTGGCACACTGGCTGTACATAGAGTCTTGGAGTGACTGGGCCCGCTCAGGCCGCACGGACATATTCAGGACGAAAGCCTTTAGACGAGTTTTTCGCCATTGGTAGAGCCAATTTTTTGATGCCAAAGAGAGCCGTTAGTCGACTCTGGCATTAGTTGATGCTGCCGTTGGTTGAGGGTCCACTGTACATACTACTTGTTTCAGTCCATCATGAACTATTATTAATTTATAAATAAAATAATAAGTAGATGTGTCTAGGTAGTAGGTTGGTAGACAACAACCGCCCAAGGAGGTACTACTGTCCTGCCAAGTGAGTGTAAAACGAAAGCCTGTAATTGTTTTCATGATGGTAGGATTGCTGGTGTCCTTTTTTCTGTCTCATAAACATGCAAGATTTCTGGTACGTCGTGCTACTTCTACTTACACTTAGGTCACACTACACATACATATACAAGCATATATATATACACACCCCTCTGGGGTTTCGGCTATTTTCTTTCTAGTTCTTGTTCTTGTTTATTTCCTCTTACCTCCATGGGGAAGTGGAACAGAATTCTTCCTCTGTAAGCCATGCGTGTTGTAAGAGGCGACTAAAATGCCAGGGACAAGGGGCTATTAACCCCTTCTCTTGTATAAATTACTAAATTTAAAAAGAGAAACTTTCATTTTTCTTTTTGGGCCACCCTGCCTTGGTGGGATACAGTCAGTTTGTTGAAAAAAATAAAATGTATATGTGTGTAACACCGTATTATTTAATTAAATTTTTATGAACATTAATGTATAATACCTCATGCCTACTCTATAAATAGTTTAATGTACATTTAATCCTAAGTCTGCCCAAAATGCACTGCATAATATGAGTTCTTCCATGTATCATATAACAACATATAATGTAACACTATGTAATGTAATGGAAAATAAACTTTACCACCTAAAAAAACATTATATAAACTATAAACATTTTCAGGTACTATACAAAAAGTGTATATACAGTGGATTACCTGTGCAAGAACAGCTGTTAGTTCCTTCATGTTTATGTCTTTCGGCATTGGAATATTTGCCCCAACTTTTGGCAAAGCTGCTCGAACTACTTTGTTACAAAACTCTTTTAAGTGTTTCTGAAGTACTTCCACAAGTCCATATAAACTTTCTCCAGGTCCAAGACGCAAGAACTCAACCAACACATTCTGTAACACAATATTGAAAATTATTTTCATTCTTTATCTATGGTTCCTTTACTATAAATTTTCTTAAATTTCAGACCCACATCCAATATATATCCAAGAAAGTATTCAAAACAGTAGGCATCCTTTCCAAGATATGGTACTATGTACCCCAATTGGCAATACTTACATTATACGACTCTAATCTATGCTTACATCATTTATGGTATTTGTGCTTGGGGATCTACCACAACGACTCACCTTGAACAAGTAACAACCCAACAAAAAGCTGTTGTGTGGATGATCAATTCCTGCGCGAGACAACACTCCCCGCCGCTCTTCAAGAGTGAACATATTTAACTTTTTTTTTTAACATGTCGGCCATTTCCCACTGAGGCAGGGTGACCCAAAAAGAAAGAAAGAACCCGAAAAGAAAGAAAACAAAACTTTCATCATCATTCAACACCTTCACCACCATTCATACATAATCACTGTCTTTGCAGAGGCACTCAGATACGACAGTTCAAATGTCCCTCCAAACTGCCAATATCCTAAACCGCTCCTTTAAAGTGCAGGCATTTTACTTCCCATTTCCAGGACTCAAGTCTGGCTACCCGGTTTCCCTGAATCCCTTCACAAAATATTATCCTGGTCACATTCCAACAGCTCGTCAGGTCCCAAAAACTGTTCGTCTCCATTCCATCCTATCTAACACGCTCACGGACAATGGCAGGAAGGCCAAGCCCCTCGCCCATAAAACCTCCTATACCCCCTCCCTCCAACCTTTCCTAGAATGACCCTTGCCCCACCTTTCTTCTACAGATTTATATGCTCTCCAAGTCATTCTACTTTATTTCATCCTCTCTAAATGACCAAACCACCTCAACAATCCCTCTTCAGCCCTTTGACTAATACTTTTAGTAACTCCACACCTCCTAATTTCCATACTACAAATTCTTTGCATAATATTTACACCACACATTGCCCTTAGACATGACATTTCCACTGCCTCCAGCCTCCTTGCTGCAGCATTTACAACCCATGCTTCACACCCCTATAAGACTGTTGATATCACTATACTCTCATACATTCCCTTCTTTGCCCCCATGGATAACATTTTTTGTCTTTACAGATACCTCAAATCACCATTCACCTTTTTTCCTTCAATTCTATGGTTAACCTCATCCTTCATAAACCCATCTGCTGAAAAGTCAACTCCAAAGTATCTGAACACATTCACTTCTTCCATACTCACCCCCTCCAATGTGATATCCAATTTTTCTCTATCTAAACTGTTTGATACCCTCATCACCTTACTCTTTTTCTATGTTCACATTCAACTTTCTACCTTTATACACCCTCCCAAACTCGTCCACTAACCTCTGCAACTTTTCCTTAGAATCTCCCAAAAGCACAGTATCAATAGCAAAAAGTAACTGTGTCAACTCCCAATTTGTATTTCATTCCCCATAATTTAATGCCACCCCTCTCCCCATCTATAAATATGTAAAACAACCATAGTGACATTACACATCCCTGTCTAAGACCTACGTTAACTGGGAAGTAATCTCCCTCTCTCCTACACACCTTAACCTGAGCCTCACTATCCTCATAAAAATTCTTTACAGTATTTAGTAACTTACTACAGGAAGGCCTCGCTTTACGGCGTTTCACTTTATGGCGTTCCGCTAATACGGACATTTCAAATTATGACCAAAACTCACTATATGGCTCCCCCCACCTGACTTTCTAATACGGTCACCGTGCCCCACCCTGTTTGTTTACATTCTCAATGAGCTCAGTAAGCACTAAGTCTCTCCATTTTGTCTGGAAACTCCAAAATTTCAAATGTTTTTAAAAGTTATTTCATATTTTATATATACTCTGATAATTATACTTATGTATACCTGTACCTAAATAAACTTACATACTGTGCTGGCATGCAGGTACACATTAAAATTGGTAAGTGTCTTATGTCTCCAGACGTCATATTAGTAATGATAATAATAATCATCGAGTCATTTAAATGTCGTATAATACGTTAATATACACATTTTCATTAATCCATCCATGATATTTTTTTCAAAATTATATAATAAACACGATGCATAACATATAAATAAGATAAATACACCCCACAGTAGAATAAATAAACAAATGTGAGATGTGAGCAGACGACTTGCACAAGTGGTGATAATAACAATACTGAGTCTCATTAAATGTCGTATATTACGGTAATATACACATTTTCATTAATCCATCCATGATTTTTTTTTCAAAATTATATAATAAACACGATGCATAACATATAAATAAGATAAATACACCCCACAGTAGAATAAATAAACATAAATGTGAGATGTGGTAGCAGACGACTTGCACAAGTGACGCCATATTAGAAATAATAATAATAACAATACTCACCGAGTCTCATTAAATGTCGTATATTACGTTAATATACACATTTTCATTAATCCATCCATGATATTTTTTTTCAAAATTATATAATAAACACGATACATAACATAAAAAGATGATAAATACACCCCACAATAGAATAAATAAACATAAATATAAGATGTGGGAGCCACATAACTTGTACAAGTGATGGCAAGAATAAAATTTTCTCTAATCTAACATAAGAGAAAATGTGTTACTGGGGGTAACTGTAGAAAATTATTCCTTTCGTATGTATGTAAGTAAGTTTATTCAGGTATACACAAATACAGTTACATAGATATCATACATAACAACATACGTGTAGAGAACCTAGGATAACCCAAAAAAGTCAGTGTGACTTATTTCCATTGCCTTCACTCAGAGCTTCATTTCTTCTCAAAATGATGTTACATGAGAATGGGAGTGTTCTTCTTTATTAATTCTACCGTATCAATGTAGAGACAACCTGTACACAATGTAACTTGTACACAAACCAGACGTGTACACTTCGTTTGTTTACAAAACTTACGTTCGCCTGGTTTGTTTACATAACTCTGCGCCTGTCCCCTCTCATGTACTCATTCTTTCTCTCTCTCATTTATTCGTTTTATCTCATTTACTTACTCCTGACCCTACATTAAGACTACAAATATTTTAAGGTAAGTAATGAGTGAACTGTATATACATTTTATCGCTCTGGGATGCTTAAATATCATAGAATAGTATGTGTGGGTGGGGTGGCCTGGTATGGTAGCCTGGCTGACACCATACATACCACACTTGATTTCTTACAATAAATACTACTTGTCTCACCATAGATTAAGACTATAAATATTTTAAGGTAAGTAATGAGTGCACTATGTGTGTATTGTACTTTTTTATTGTTTTTTGATGCCTGGTTCTATTGCTAACTTAATATATGTTAGTGTAAACTTGTTATCTAGTGTTTGTATGCATTTATAAGTGGAAAAAAAGGGTGTTCCACTTTACGGCGGTTTCCGCTTTACGGCGGTAGCCTGGAACCTAACCTGCCGTATAAGTGGGGCCCTCCTGTACCTATTCCATACAATTGCAACATAAGAAAGAACACTGCTACAGGCTTACTGGCCCATGCGAGGCAGGTCCGATTCTCCCACTGGCTTAAGCCAATGCCTTAACCTAGTCAGGTCAGGTCACATTCGGTTAAGAAAGGTGCACGGCATCTGACCTAGTAGCACAAGCTAGTCAGGTCCAACTCACACCCACTCATGTATTTATCTAACCTATTTTTAAAACTACACGTCTTAGCTTCTGTTACAGTACTCGGGAGTTTGTTCCACTCATTCACAACTCTGTTACTAAACCAGTGCTTTCCTATATCCTTCCTGAATCTGAATTTTTCCAACTTACAGCCATTGCTCCAAGTCCTGTCTGGGCTAGATATTTTTAGTATGCTACTTACATCCCCTTTATTAATTCCTGTTTTCCATTTCTACACCTCAATCATATCCTCCCTAATTCTATGCCTGTCTAGAGAGTGCAGATTCAAGGCCCTCAGTCTATCCTTAAAGGGAAGATTTCTGATATATGTGATCAACTTTGTCATCCTCCTTTGTAAATTTTCCAGTGTATTTATATCCATTCTGTAATACAGTGAGCAGAACTGTGCAGCATAATCTAAATAGGGCCTAACCAAAGATATACATATAGAGTTGAAGAACAACCTGAGGAATTCTATTATTTATACTTCTTGATATGAAGCCAAGGATTCTGTTAGCTTTATTGTGAACACTTACGCACTGTTGTCTTGGTTTCAGATTGCTACTAACCAGAACTCCTAAATCCTTCTCGCAATCAGTAATATTAAGATCTACATTATTTAGTTTGTATGTGGCACGGTTGTTTTCCTGTTCAACATTTAGAATTTTGCATTTGTCTATATTAAACTGCATCTGCCACTTCTCCGACAACTGCATCAATGCCACATTGATCCCCTATCCACCCAGGCATATGCCTTTTCTAAATCCATAAATGCAATGAAAACTTCCCTACCTTTATCTAAATACTGCTCACATATATGCTTCAATGTAAACACTTGATCTACACATCCCCTACCCATTCTAAAGCCTCCTTGTTCATCTGCAGTCCTGCTCCTTGTCTTACCTCTAATTCTTTCAATAATAGCCCTATCATACACTTTACCTGGTATACTCAGTAAACTTCCTCCCCTAATATTTACAATCTCTTTTGTCCCCCTTCCCTTTATATAAAGAAATTATACATGCTTTCTGCCAATCCCTAGATACCTTCCCCTCTTTCATACATTTAATGAGCAAAAATACCAACCACTCCAACACTATATCCCTTCTCCCCCTGCTTTTAACATTTTTGCCATGATCCTGTCAGTTCCAGCTGCTTTACCAATTTCATTCTATGTAATGCCTCACGTGCCTCCCCCACATTCACATCCGGTTCTTCTTCATTCCTAAAAGATGTTATACCTCCCTGGCCAGTGCATGAAATTACTGCCTCCCTTTCTCCATCAACATTTGAAAGTTTTTCAAATATTCCCACTATCTTCTCAATACCTCCAACTCCTTATCTAC